ACTCCATCCACTCCAACTCCACCATCATTTCTTAAAAGAGTTGGTTTATCATCTGGAAATCCAAAATCACATTCTCCCCCTTCACAAATTACAGCTTGCAAATCACACAGCTCGTGGAGCAGGAGAGGCCCTAGGCAAACCTGGGCTTTTCATCTGCCTCTGTTCCCCGCCTCGTGGTCTCTCACCCTCTTCCCTGCTCCAGAACCACACCCAGAGCCACTCCACCATGGGGATGGGCACTGCCACCATGAGCTGACCCACAAGCGTGTCCAGCATCTGCCAATAGCCTTGACTGAGGCAGGCAACACTCATGGGTCCCTTAGTTCAAACAATACATAATACTACTTATCAAAGACTTTTCAACAGCCATCAAAGGTGTGCAAACAAGATTGGTAAAAGCATACATATATGTTCATTTCAACACACTGAGAAGTCCTGCTTGTAATAAAACCACAGAGGGCCCTGGGTTTTTTGAGTAGTAGCTGTGAGTACAAATAATGGACCTATATAAGTCTGAGCATTGTTTTCCTTTCTATCTATCCAAACTTAAATATTTTTTAATTTCACTAAATTTATTAGAGTGACATCTCTATATAAAAAAAAGCCAGTGACCAGAACGCCATGATGACTGGAACAACCACTCACTATGAGGCCCACTGCATCAGCGAACCAGCCACATCTGGGGTGAGACCAGCCTGCCAACCTCCTTTGGCCCCTCCCTCTGGCTGGCCCCACTCCAGATCAGTCCCCACACCCCGAATAATGTTGGAGCTGGCTGGCCAACTGTCTGTGGGCCCTCTCCCAGCAAGCTCTGGCCCCAGTCAGTACCCTTCACTCCAATCAGGGGCAAGGCCAGCAGGTATCACCTGCACCCCCTCTCCCCTGATTGACCCACACATACACCAATCGGGGGCAGGGCCAGCTGACCAACCTCCCACAGCCCTTCCCTGCAGCCACTGACCCCTGATTGGCCCCCCAGCCCAGCCCACTGCCCACAGTCCCTCCCAACAGTTGGCACCACCCCCAATCGCCCCCCAACCCAATCTGGGGTGGGGCCCACAGGCCAATCACCCTTGGCTCCTCCCCTCCAGCCTGATGTGGGCCAGGCCGGACAACCAACCTCCCATTGTTTCCTCCTCCCAACAGGCCCAGACCCCACCCATGCACGAATTTATGCACTGAGCCTTTAGTTGGTTAATAAGATTATACAGGTTCAAGTGTCCATTTCTATGATACATCATCTGTATATTGCATTGTTTACCCACTACCCAAAGTCAAATCTTCTTCTGTCACTATATATTTGACCCCCTGTACCTTTTAACTTTTCTGAGACTGTTTCCATAGCTATGAAGTGGGACTGATTATTACTAGTGTTGTCATGAGGCTCAAATGATAAAATCCCTAAAAAAAGCACTTAGCAATACTCCACATATTTTATTGTTGTTGTTGTTGTTGTCATCATATTAGTATATATTCAGTTTTGTTGCTCATAGTTTGTCTGTGATGGATGATTCTCCACATACTTCAACCAAAACAATATTTTTGCAATACACTGAAGGAGATTTGAGAATCTAGCTATCTTCTCCAAAGCCAGATATTAAAGAGATCTATGAAAATGTAAAATAATGTCTGTTTTTTTCATTACTTTTCATTTTGGCAAAATAAAGTTTTATTTTATATAATAAAATTAAAATGTTATAGGTTTAATGTGATTTTTACATGAGTTAATATTTTAACTTTTTCTCAATTTTAATGTTCAAAATGGTAACTATCAATAACTAAGACACACCTTGGGATCCTTGGGGTTCTAAGACCAACAAATTTGAGAACTGGGACCTGGACACAGACAACATTTCCTTCCATTTAAACCCTAAGTTCCATGTGAGATCACCCACTTAAGTTCCCCTTTTCCTTTTTTTGAGTTTTCTAACAATTCTCAATTCATTTGTAGAACAGAGATAATTGATATGCCCTGGTCCTTAGGTCAATTAATGACCAAGATTAAATTCACTAACTACCTCCACTCCCCTAGTTTATCTTGGTTAATTTATTTCTGAGGCACAAGAACACCCACTCTGGATTCAGTTCCCCTACCATCTCATTCAGCAAACATGTGCTGAGCAGCTACTATACATCAGGCAACAGACTAGGCTCTGAGATCCAAAATGTCAATGAAACTAAGCTTCTGACCTTGAGGAGGTCCAACACGGCCCCTCAGCTTCATGATCCCTTGCAACACATATTAAAAGAGAGATGCTTATTGGAGTACTACACATCTCCATTGTTTGTTGAACCTAGGAAAACAATTCAAAATTTAAATGAGCTATTTTAACCTCATCTAGATTTTTCTGGGAATGTAAAAGCACAAAATAAAAGGATAATAAAGCTTATGTTTGCAACCCAAAGTCAACCTTCAGAGACACTCTTATTCAAGCCAAAATGTAAGTTCTGGGAATAGGGTAAATGAAGGCATACAACTGGAGAGATCTTTGAAATAAGCAAAATCAGAGCCACAGTCCCCAGCCCTGCTCCACATGCATCAGAGCTGGATAAAGAATGCAAATGAAATCATTTCTCTTTTACCCACTGACCCTCTGCTTGCCCATGAAATGTGGTCAACCATGACTCTAGCCAGAAACCTGAGTAAGCAACCCAGATGCCTATCAGTGTACATGAGTAAATGTTTTAAAATACATTGGAATGAAGTTTGCACTTGGAAACAAACAACTGAAAAATCACCTCTGACAACCAGAAGTAATTTATAACTTCTCTTTGCAGAATCATGGTAAATTAATTGTTTCAGCAGAAGGAAAAAGTATTTTATTGCATATACTTAAAAGATATAACCAATAATAATATGAAATCCTAGCTCCCAACTACTGCTTTCAATATTCTTTGGGGAAGCACATTTGCTTTTAATTTTAGGAGTGGTTGGACCTTGGGAACTCAAACTTGGTTTACAATTTCAGCACTTTTGTTCACAGAAGACACCCTGACAAACAATTTTCCTTCTTATAAAACAATCAGCATAAGGACTTCACCTAGATTTTTAAATAAATAGGGTATGGTAAATATATCCTATTCATATAGGTGCTACTGATGTTTAAAAAAAGCAACAAACACATTATTCCCTATTACTAACAAAATGATTTCTAATTACTTTTTAATCTGTAAGCCTATTACAGAGGCAGCACTATTTAATAAATTTAATCTAAAACAATCTTTATATATCCAATGGGTAAATAATAATACAAACCTTCTAATGATAACAATGGACATTTATTCTCATTCTCCATATTCTCTAATAAATGCAATACACTGAACCAACCAGCAACAACCAATAATATAATTTGTCTTATAGTTTAACAAGTTCATCTAAAATCTACCTTTAATAACTATTTCAGCCTTCAAACTAATGCAATCTCTTCATCTAAGTAGTGATTCCAGAGAAGGGAGGAAGAGACAAGGAGAAGGTTTAGGGGAGGAATATACCAAATCAAAATAAAATTATATAAATCAAGGCCTGAATCTAATCAAATAGCTCAACATAAAAGACCTATGTAAAGATCTTTAAAAAACTAATTAGGTAAAAGAGGACATTTGGGTTAGAAGTCCCTTCAGGGCTATGTGTAAAAGAAAAAAACTGAATTCCACTTAGGATTATATCTCTGAGAATTATATCTCTATTAAGAATTATATCTCTAATTATATCTCTAATATCCTCTAGGCCATGAATTTGCTGATCCATCCACTGAACAGACATAGCTACTTATTATGAAAAAAAAAATCACACAGGATTCAAAAAGACAATAATAATAAAGGAGCATTTTAAATTAAGAAAACCCTCACCTCCCCCATATAGAAAAGAAAGCAAGAAAACTAATACATGAGCCTCAATCTCACAAGCAGGTTATGTCTGGTTTACGGCCAAATATCACAAACCACATTTGATATTTTGTGTTTTTGGCTGAGTGGCACCAGAATGACTTTGAGGGGAGTAAGGAGGGACAGAAAGAACTTAGAAAATGACAAACAAGAGCTTTCCAAAGCACAGCTATTTCATTTCTGGTAGACATCAAGACAACATTGGCAGTAGTTCAATTTAAAAAACCAATCAATGATACACGAGGTAATTTCCTAAAATATAACCCAGAGAAGGCCAAGCTTGGAATTCTCTTGGCTTATCCTGTGAAACTAACTTCTCACCCATCAGCAGACAGAACAATGCATACCTATACCAGGGTATTGAACAACACAGTCTTATCTCAAGAAACAGCCTACTATCTCTGATCATTCACAGGACATTATATGCTTTAGGCTAAGAAGGTAAAGAAAGGATTACCCTAAATCAAAAGTCAGTGCCTAAAATGTGAAGGCCGATGAAATTAGGAATCTCCTTGAACTTGGCTCAGCACATTGAAATTAGTCACTGTCTATAAGGAAACTGCTAAGGCTGCTGAGGATGTGAAAGTTAATACTGTCCCCCATAGCCAAACCCCCTGGACAGCTAGGCTGTAATGCTGATTTCTACCAAAGTTCTTAATTTTGGAACAGAAAATTCTTAAGTCTGAAATCACCCATTCTCTGGGCTTCCTTACTGAGAGGTGTTTAGTTTAGCGCTGAGATTCAACTTATGTAATTGGATGTGGGATGGTTGTTTGTTTGTTGGGGGGGGGGAGGGGAGGGCACTTCAGAAATGGCTAAAGATTTCTCCCTAATATATACATATATATATACATATACATATACAAATACACATACATATACATGTACATGTACATATACATGTACATATACATATGACTTCTATGAGGTGAACTATAAAGTGAAAAGTGTTCCTGTTTAGTTCTGACCAGGATGAAAGCTAGATTTTATGTAACTCTTGTTAGACTTTGTGCCAGAACATTTTTATATACTCCTGTCAGTAAGAATCAATTATCATCAACACTTTCTTAAAGGCATAGCAACAAATAAGTCATAAAGGATGACAAAATCATTACCTCTGCTCTCTGTGTTCTGGGAAAAGCAGTTGATTTCTCTATGGCATAAACCTCCACCAGGTAAAGGCAAGCTCCTTGCTCCCGGTCCAGAATGGCTGCTGTCTGAATCATGCCAGTCAGTCGCCCAATAGTGAAGAGACGCCCAACGGTTTTCTCTTCACAACGAACCGCAACAATATAATACTCCACCGGGGCTTCCGATCCTCTGGGGCTGGCTGCTTCTATGGATATCACATTGGTACCAATGGGTTCCCCTTCCTTCAAAATAGTGATATATTTGGGCTGAGTGAAAACAGGCCCATCGAGGCCCTGCAGAATGACGGTCAACTCGGTGGTGGACTTCCTCCTCTCCGGGCCAAGGTCAGTTGCTGAAACGATGAGGTTATAGATCAGCTGTGAAGGCACCAGCGCTGAGGCCACTCTCAAGTCCCCACTGAAACGGTCTACCACAAAGGTGTCTGTGTCCCCATTGATGATCTCGTACTCCACCTCTCCGTTGGCACCTTCATCTGGGTCGGCAGCCATGACGGTGGTCAGCACAGAGCCAATCACAGCCGAAGGGTCTGCAGCGAGGGCGTTCTGGGATATGAACACTGGAACATTGTCATTGAGGTCTGTCACCAAAATGGTCACGTTTTTCAAAGCATACCTTCTAGTTTCTATAGGCACAGCTTGGTCGTTGGCTTTGACAGTTAACTCAAAGAGGTTAGCAAATTCCCGGTCTATTTCAGCACTGGTGTAGATCGTGCCTTTGACTTCATCTATGCCAAAGTGGCTGCCCCTCGGCATCTGTTGGATGATCGTGTAGGCTAGCTGCCCATTAATGTCGGCATCGGGGTCGTGGGCAGTCACTGAAATGACGGACGTACCGATGGGAATGTTCTCAACAATAGACTTGAAAATATCCCCAGGAGGAAAGCTGGGAGGGTTGTCATTGAAGTCCCTCACGTGGATAACCACTGACATTGTAGATGAGCGAGGAGGCCTCCCTTGGTCTTTCGCTGTGATGTTTAATTTGTACAAAGACTGTGTTTCAAAGTCCAATTTCTTGGCAAGAAAAATACTCCCAGTGTTGGGGCTAATGCTGAAAGTCCCATGGTTGTTAGTCCCAGTAATGCTGTAGTGCAGGTCAGCATTGTCACCGGAATCTGAATCCGTGGCAGTAACAGAGGACACGAGCTCACCGATTCTCATGTTTTCCAAAACATCAACAAAGAGTGTTGATTTAGGGAAAGAGGGGGTATTGTCATTTTCATCCAAAATATCAATATTTAAGGTGCAGGTTGAATTGAGGGAGACTGCCCCCGAATCCACTGCTTGAATTACAAGGGAATAGGCAGGTGTCGCTTCATAGTCTAATTTGCCAATTAGGGTCACTTGGCCAGAGGTACTTTCTATAGCAAACTGTCTTTCTTCATTTCCTTTCACTATAGAATAATGGATGAGTCCATTATTACCTTCATCAACATCTGAGGCAGATACTCTTAAAACCTGTGTCAGGTTGGCCGCAGACTCTGATATCGTAGCTTGGTAAAAGTCTTTTACAAATTTGGGAGCGTTATCGTTTATATCCTTCATGTAAACATGGACAGTGGCCTGATCCTTGAGAGGCTGTGGGAGCCCCTGGTCTGTGGCAATGACTGTAAAGCTAAACACTGCAGTCCCCCTGCGCCTCATAAGAGACTCCCTGTCAAACTGATGAGTGTTTGTAATCTCCCCACTAAGAGCATGCAACTCGAAATCTGGCTGCACCGTTTCAAATGAATACCTTACTTCTCCGTTTGGCCCAAAGTCTTTATCTACAGCACTTACTTTGCCCACAAATGACCCAGCTTTCTGCTCCTCTTCAAAATAAAACGAGTAGTTGGTGCTGTTAAAAAGAGGTCTGTTATCATTTACATCTTCTAAAATTACAGTAACGTTCACAGTAGCACTGAGGGGCTCCACAGCTCTGTCAGAAGCAACAACCAGTAAGACATATCTGTCTTGAAGTTCACGGTCCAGTTCACTTTTTATATACAACTGACCATCTGGGAATATGCCAAAAGCATCCCCTGTATTTCCTTCAGCAATGCTGTACGCAATTTCACCGTTTGCTCCTGAGTCCTTATCAAAAGCTTGCACTTTAAAGAATCGAGAATTCACAGGTTCTGACTCAGAAAGGGTGACCTCGTAAGAGAGCTGGTCAAATACTGGCGGGTTGTCATTCACATCATGGACATACACCGTTAAGATGACACTAGAAGAGAGCTGTGGAACACCCATATCAGATGCCAAGATCTCTAGCTGGTAGGAACCAGCATGGACATCCAGGGGCCCTAGCAGACTAACGTGCCCATCCTTTTCATTGATAGTAAAGAGATTCTTGGGGTTCTGCTTCAGGCTATAGTGTACCATGCCATTCACACCTTCGTCAGGGTCCACAGCTTTGGCTTGGAAAATGCTGTGACCAGCCTGCCAGTTCTCCACCACATTCACACTCTCTACTGCCTGCAGGAAGTGGGGGGAGTTGTCATTCAAATCCTTAACAGTTATATTAACCAGAGTGTCTCCGGTCACTGTGCCCCCGCTGGCCACTACCTTCAGCTGATAAAAGGACTGCTCTTCTCTGTCAATCACACTCCCTGTGGTGAGCTGCCCAGTGACCTGGTTGATAGCAAACATACCTTTCTGATCCCCAGTAGTAATGAGATAACTGATGTTGGAATTGAGATCCATGGTGGAAGCAGACACACTACCCACATGATATCCCAGAGCCACATTCTCAAAGACCACGAAGCTATAGGCAGCCTGACTGAACACAGGTGGGTTGTCCTGAGTGTCCAGTACGGTGATGGTTACTACTGCCTGGTTGGGAGACTGTAAATTGCCACCATCCATAGCCACTACTTGTAGTTGGTAAGCTGTCCTTTCTTCTCTGTCTAGGGCCATTCTTGTAGAAATAACCCCACTCTGAGCATTGACCTGAAACCGAGACCTGTCGCCAGCTGATATGCTATATTTGATAGTTCCGTTGAGACCCAAGTCCGGGTCCGTGGCAGACACTGTGGTGATGTAGCTACCTCCGGGCTCATTCTCCTGAATATGAGCAAAGTACTGGACTGGGTAGAACACAGGGCTGTTGTCATTCATATCCAGGAGGCTCACATTTATGCGAGCCACTGAGGACTGGGGAGGGGAGCCCAGATCGGTGGCCAGAACCAACAGGGAGTAGAAGGATTGCTCCTCTCTGTCCAAGGAGGAGATAGTACTCAGCCTCCCGGACACCGGATCCAGCCGGAAAGACCTCTGGTCATTCTCAGCCTCTTGTAGGGAGAAACGCACCGTCCCATTGTCACCCAGGTCCCCATCCGTCGCCCTGAGCACCAGCAGTTCTGTCCCTGTGGGGGAGTTCTCAACCACAGACACCTCATACCCTTCTGGCTGGCTAAACACAGGCTTTTCATCATTCACATCCAGGAGAGTGACTACCAGCTGGGCGTAGGAGACCTTGGGGTGAACGCCCTGGTCCCGAGCACTAATATTCAGCACAATCTGGGAAGCAACTTCCCGGTCCAAGCCCCCAGCAGCCCCGGTGGTCACCAGGCCGCTATGGTCACTGATATGGAACCAGCCTAGCTCATTGCCAGAGACGATGCTGTAACGCAAATTAGCATTGAGACCGGAGTCACCGTCCGTGGCGGACACTCCACTCACGTAGCTTCCCGGGGGCGCCTCCTCGCTCAGGTTCACTCTGTACACTTGCTGGGCGAAGACCGGAGGGTGGTCGTTGATGTCATTGACGAAGATCACCAGGCTGGCCACGGAGGAGCGCGCCCGGCCCGCCGCGGCAGGGGGCGCCCCGGCGTTATCCGAGACGGACACCGTGAGGTTGTAGGAAGGGATGCGCTCCCGGTCCAGGGCGCTGGCCACCTTGATGAGGCTCAGGTTGGGCACCTTGCTGCTCTGCACCTCAAAGTGGCGCTGCTCGTTGCCAGCGAGGATCTGCACAGAGATGTTGCCGTTGGCCGCGGGGGAGTCCGCGTCCGTCACGGTGAGCAGGGCCACCACGGTGCCCACCTGGGCGTTCTCGTCCACCGAGGCGTAGCGCGAGGTGGCGGGGAAGTAGCGGAACTTCACCACCGGGTCGTTGTCGTTGACGTCCAGGAGCTGGATGAGCGCCTCGGCGCGCCCGGTGAGCGAGGGCACGCCCCGGTCCAGCGCCTGCACCGTCAGGGAGTACTGGCGCCGCGCCTCGAAGTCCAGGGGCTCCCTCACCGTGATGAGCCCCGTCTCGGGGTCCATCTGGAAGGGGGTGCCCTCGTCCTGCAGCCGGTAGCGGATGTCCGCGTTGGTGCCCTCGTCCGCGTCCGCCGCCGCCACCTGCAGGACGCTAGCGCCCACGGCCGCGTCCTCGGGCACCCCGGCCTGGTAGCGGGAGCTGCTGAACACCGGGGGGTTGTCGTTGATGTCCTGCACCGTCACGTTCACCTGCAGGTAGCCCCGCCGCTGGGGCTCGCCCTTGTCCTTCACCTCCACCAGCAGCTGGTACTGCGGCGTGAGCTCGCGGTCCAGCCCGCCCTCGGACACCAGGTGCAGGAAGGCGCCCTCGCCGCTCGGGTTGAGGGTCACGTCCAGGCGGAAGCGGCCCTCCTCGTTGCCCTGCACGATGCGGTAGGAGTGGTGGTCCACGCCGTTGGAGCCGGTGTCCGCGTCCGTGGCCGTGTCCAGGATGACCTGGCGCCCGCTGCCGCTGTCCTCCTTGAAGGCCACCACGATGGACGGGTCCGGGAAGACGGGCGCGTTGTCGTTGAGGTCCCACACCAGCACGCGCACCTCGGTGGGGTAGGTGGGAGAGCTGGACAGGACCACCAGGTTGATCACGTCGCTGGGCAGGCTCTCGCGGTCGATGGTGGCCGTGGTGTACAGGGTCCCCGTGCTGCCGTTGATGGCGAACAGGGCGTGGCTCTCGCTGAGCCGGTAGGTGAAGCCCGGGCGCGTCTGGATGGTGCCCACCAGCGTGCCGGGCGGCTGCTCCTCCAGCACCTGGAACACCTGGCGCTGCTCGGCCCCGCCGACCGGGGCCGGTCCGGGGAGCAGGCACAGCAGCAGCCCGAGGACGAGGCGCAGGAGCTGCAGGGTCGAGGGGGTGGTGGGCAGCGGGAGCCCGGCGGCGGCGGCGGCGCGGCCAGCAGCCCGGCGTGTGGTCAAGTCCATGATCGCGGCTCCCTGGAGTGGCGCGATCAATAGGAGGAATAGGAGAGGCAACAAAAATGCAAACGGCCGGGGGGATGGAGGATCCCGGCAAATGCAACGGATGGTCCGGGGAGGAGAGTTCTGTTATTTCAAGGAGCCTCCAGCCCAGCAGAAGCAAGTCTCAGCGAAAGGCTCCATCCAGGTAGCCGCGTAGAGAAGCGGGGGCGAGAGGCGGTCGGGCATTCCGCGGGGCGCTCCAGAGCGCTGCTGAGTTCCAAAAAAAAGTTTCTCAAACCTCAGGATTTCCCCCCCTTCAGGCTGGTTCTGAGTCTGGAGGCTCTGAGCGTCCTCCCCAGGCGGCTACGAGCTGGGAGAGGTGGCCCGTGTCTAAGGTGTAGGAGCCACCGCTGCAAACACTCTCCAGAAACTTTGCAGCTCGCCCCGCGGCCAAGACGCGGACGGAGGAGGGGAGCACCGACGCGGGTGGCGCCGCGGGCAGAGGACGGCTGCGTGCAGGGAGGGGCGGGAGGTGAGCGAATGCCTCCCCTAAAGGCTGGAGTCGACCCCCAGAGGTCTCCGCGAGCCCCCCCAGCGCGCCAGGAACGCCTCTCCGCGGGGCTGCACGAGCCGCTGCGAGGCCCCAGGCGCCCGGGGCGGCGGGCGGACGGCGCTCCCGGTGCGGGCGCTAGGGCTCCGGTGCCCGCGAGCGCTCCGCCGCCGCCTCCTCCTCCTCCGGCAGCCGCGGCCGCCGCCCCAGCAGCCGGCGCAGGCACCGTCCCGCCGCGCTCCTCGGCATGGTTTTATTTCACTTCAGCCGGAGCCCCGCCTGCCTGCCTGCCTGCCGGCCCGTTATTTGTACATCCACAGCGAGCGCAGGTCGTTCCCCGGTCTTCGCGGCCTCGCGGGGGGTCCGGCGGCGGCGGCAGCAGCGGCGGCGTGCGGTCCCCGCGTCCCCTCCCCTCCGCATGCCGAGGGGGAGACCGTGGTCGGGGCGGCCCCGGCAGAGCCCCCGCTAGCGCGCCTCCTCCCTGCCTGCCCCGGTGCTCTTTGCTTTTTACGGTCCCGGGTCAGTTTCACTTTGTAATCCACAAGGCTTTAAGGTTTGGGGATGGGGGCGATTGGACCCCCTTTCTCCGGTGCCGTCGGCGGGGAGGCGGGGACGCGGCGCGCCGAGCAGTGGCGGCGCCCGCCCGCGGCAGCTCGGGACGGCGCCTGTCAGCGCTCTGCCGCTCGCCCGCCCGCCGGGCTGGAGGGAGGTTGTGCGGCGGTGCAGCCCGAGCTCGGGAGCCCCTCTCCGCGCCCCCGAGTCCTCCTCCCTCTCCTCCTTCTCCTCCCTCTCCCCGCCCCTTGGCCGCCGCGCGCGCGCACCCGCCCCGCGCGCCGCCGCCGCCGCCCAAACAGAAGGGCGGGCGGACCGCGGGGCGAGCCCGACTCCCAAACTTTGCTCGCGGCTCGGGGATCCGCTCCGGGCGCGCGACGACGCCCCCCGCCTCCCCGCCTGTCACCCCCGGCCCCGCCCCCGCCCATTGGGCCAGGAGCCGCCCCGCCCCGCCCACAGGACCCGCCCCCGCCCCGCCCATTGGGTCCGGCGCCATCTCCCTCCCCCCCCCCCTCCCGCGCGCGCTGCTGCCCAGGCTGCCGATTGGCTGTTCCCGACGCTCATCACTCCCTTGGCCTCCGGGGAGGGGGGTGAGGTGGGGGGGAGCGGTGGGCGTTCCCGGGTGGGACCCCCGCGAGTCGGAGGCGCTGAGAAGGGGGCGATTTTTTTCTCTCTTCCTCCCCCTCCCCCCGCCACCCTTTTGGTCCAGTCTTGGCCGGCGTCAGAGCAATAACAGCAAAAAGCTGCCACAGAACTGATGGGGGTTAGGTCAGGTTTGCAGATAAATAACTTCAGCGGCGGGGTCCGGGGAAGCTGTTGGGTGGTTATGGCAGTAATAACTCAGGGGGAAGGGGGCCGAGAGAAAGAGAAGAAAGGAGGCGGGGGGGCGAGGGTCTGCTGGAGCGGGGAGGAAGGATTAAGCAAAGCCTGTCTGGGAATGCACAGCGCAGATTGGCTTTAACCGTTTCCTGCCCCTTCTCTTTCCACGGATCCGACCAAATGCAAAGGACCCGACCAAATGCAAATCAACGGCTCTTCTTCCCCGCCCCCCCCTCAGGCTGCAGAGCGAGCTTCCCGCACTGCCCGGCTGGCTCACCCCTGAGCCTGCACCCAGCTCCCCTCCCCAGCTCCCAGGTGACTGGGGCACCGACGCCTCAGTGCCCACCGCGCTGTGGACTTCCTATAGGAAAAGCTGGGGAAACTCGGTGTTTGTTTTGTTTCCCTTCCCAAATGGATCCCAGGTGCCAGTAGTCAAACCTTAAGAGTACAACAATAACAGCGGTAGCCCTTGGGGAAAGACGGGCCCTTTTCCTGTTGCAAAGTTTGGAATTCTCATCTCTCTTGGAATACGTCCCTGACATTCTGTAGCCAAAGGAATCCTGACAAAATTTGGAGTTGTTTGTTTTGTTTGTTTGTTTCTTTTTCTTCTCTCTTTGTCTGGGGGAAAATAGATATGAAAAAATATATATAAATAGAATGAACTTTAAATTTGAAGAATGTTCGAGTGCCAAGTATTGCACTCAAATTAACTCCCCAGGTCTTTACAGTAGCTGATTTTTGTAAGTCGCGTGCATCGCCTTTTTAAAATAAAATAAAATAAAATAAAGTGACTAGGAATCCGGCCAGTATTCCTTTCCCTTTAAGAGAAACCAGCTTGAAAATAAGCATGTAAACCAAGCAACGCAAATACAATCTAGGGCATATGGCATATATTTTTGCCACAGTGACCCCTTCCAAATTTAAAACGTTGACTGAGCCCTGGGATATTTCAGCGACGGGTAAATGCTGCCCTCTGCTGTTCGTCAATCTTAAAAGGTCTTTGGTCGCCTAGTTTTTTCCTTAAAATTAAATGCAGAGACTACAAGGATCGGATTGCCAGGCTAATTCCTCTTTCTTGCCTGGGGATAGTGGCAAAGAAAAAAAGATCTTTAGGAATCTCCTACTGCCTTTCTTTTATTTAAGGTAAAACAAATAAAAAATAAAAAATAAAACATTTAAGAGCAGTAGAGCAGACAGTAAATTCAAGTTCTCTGATGCAGACAGCCCGTAACCCACAGTATCTATGGAAACCTGAATATGAAAAATGCTACCACCAGTTTCTTTGTTTAGGTTAGAAAGTTCACTTCTGCATGTTCCTCTACTATGCGTGCCATGCAGTTTGTGCATATGGCAGTATATATACAGTATATGCATATTGAGTGAATTGGAAACAGACAAGAAAGTTAAATTTTACCATCTCTGTATTTTTTAGGACTTGAAAACTTTTTAAAGCATTGAAAGCTGTTCTTTTAAAAGAAAGACATCTTTAAGCCTTTTCTCAAAACTTCCTCTGCCAAAAAAAAATACAATCTTAATAACACTATTTTGAGGTAATTTAGCCAACAAAAATATGTAAGTTAAAATAGAACCAAATATTTTTACAAACCATGGCTATGATGTGTGATTTTAAGAAAATAATAGGAGTTTTTCTTTTGGTTGTTGTATGCTAATGCTCCATTCAAGTACGAAGAAGTAGAAAGAAAACATTTAGGTACTTGTAGGTGATCAAGTTCTTTAGAGAGCCTGTGAGATACCTTTGTATTTAGCATAAATACTGTTACATTTATCATTTATGGGTGAATTTAATTTGGGGAACAAGTGAAAATCATTCATTCTGTGGAATGGGAAGTGTTTATCTGTGTAATCCACATTTTATAGCATACATATTTATTTTATAAAACAAGATATGGCAAAATTAAGTAATACAGAAAGTGGGTACTATTCAATACATGAAATAACTTTCGAACAATTCTGAAAGAGGATTATGAAAATGGTGTAGCTAATGGTAGTTATTTGAATAAATGGAAGCTCTCCATGAAAACTTCTTTAAAATAACACATTCATTTTATAGCTAAAACCTACACATAGTATTACAACTTATGTATGCTGGGTACATAATTTATTTATTTATTTTTAGTTGACAAATAGCATTTTTAGAAATGTTATGTTTAAATAGTAGTACACGAGTCTCTTTTTTTTCTTCACTGACTTCTTCCCTTTCCCTCCCCCCCTCCCCTTCCCAAGTGTCTTGAGTCTGTTGGTTGTGCTTATATGCATGCATACAAATCCTTTAGTTGATCTCTTACCCGCCCTCCCCTCCCCTACCTTCCTGCTGTAGTTTAAAGTATTGTATGGAGAATGATTTTACTGAAAAACCAGGAATGAGGCATTCATTTTATTTTATTTTTCTCCCTTGGTTTTCAAAAATTGTGGTAATATAATGCATGATAAAAAGTAAGGGTGGTCCTCTTAGTAAATAAAAAAAAAATTTTTTTAAATAAAGATGCTTTCCAAAATATAAATAAAAGAAAATAAAGATATAGAGAGATTGTATGCGTGAATAAATAAGGTTTAGGTTATTTTTGCTCTTCCACTAAAAGTTTAGTTATTTTAAAAAGGATTACTTATGACAGCTTTCACTAAACATTAAATTAGATACTTCTAAAAGGGAAGATATTCAGCAGTTTTAACAGACTGTAGGGAAAATTACATTTTTATGTTCAGTCATGAAAGAAATTGGAGAATATAGCTCATTTGAACTTTAGGCGTACATCAAAACAAATAGCTTTTATAACAATTTGTTGCCGGAAACCGATCATTGTCTCACTAATAGAAAGATGTAAAAGGCTGGTCAACCTTGAAGCTCTGAAAGGTCAGAGCCAACCACTCCCTATCTAATTGAGACAATGGTATCTGAGGCAACTTCCCCATCTTGTAATCATGTAAATCCTTACTGATATGATAATCCACTTATTACCTGCCTAAGGGCTATGGTGTTTCCCAAAGCTGCTTAAGGGTAATGGGTATATCCCATAGTCTCAATAAAAGGGATAGCAAGGCCAGAGCCTAGTGGTAGTCCTCCCCCTAGAGGTGGACTCCTGCCTGGCTCCCCATTTTTCCCAAATTAAAATTAACTCATTTCCAGTCTCTTCATTTGTGTGTGGCCTTCTCCAGAAACCGGACTCTGAACAGGAATCCTGAACCTCGCAGGACATGATAAGGGATCCCACAATTTGTTATCCTGATCTTTACACATTCGCTCTCATTACTTTATGTAATGTCCAGTTTTGTTTTGTTTTCATCTTTAGACCTCAAGTGGAGATGCTTAGGCTAATCATACTCATTTTATTTTTATCTCACTCTCATGTCCTTGTCATTCTTCATTCCCTTTATAGGTCCCCAGAGGCAAACATTCTTTTTTCTTTTTTAAATATAATTTTATTGATTTCAGAGAGGAAGAGGAAGAGAGAGAGAGAGAAAGAATAACATCAATAATGAGAGAGAATCATTGATTGGCTGCCTCCTGCATACCTCACACTGAGGATCAAGCCCACAACCTGGGGATGGCCCCTGATTGGGAATTGAACCATGACCTGCTGGTCCACAGGCCAATGCTCAACCATTCAGCCCAGTGGGCGGGGCCAGAGGCAAACATTCACATAGTCTAATGAGCCTGTTCACTTCTTCTGGACTTTATATGGTAATTCTTATCATATATTTATCAGCTCTTGATCTTTTGAGAAAATATTTTAAAATGAAATAATTTTAGTGGCTTTTAGTGATAAGAATAGCCTGGCTTTTTACCAGAATAAGAAACCTGTCTCCATTATTTCTGCAAATATTTTCCTCTTTCCATTTTTTTTTTTTTCCTTTTTGATAAATTTTATTATTTGGTACTTATCCATATGCTGGGTCGATTTAGTTTTTCTTGCTTTCCTCTGGAAAATTCCACAATCTCTCATTTCAATTCACTCATTCATTTTTCAGGTATATCTAATCTACCACTGATTAATCTTTTATTCTCTTCGTGTCAACTCATATTTTTCATACTTACTATTTCTACTTCATTTTTAAATAAATTTTAATTCTGCTTTCTATTAACCAGACCTATTCATCAGTCATCTATCTTTAACACACATTTTAGATTCTTGTCTCATCTGTTAAAATTCTCTCCTTATTATGAGTTGCCTATGTTATTAAGTTTGTCTTCCTCAGACATCTTGTTTTGGTCGGTGTCAGCTGCTCTGGCAATGTGTGCTGAGGACGGATCTTTAAAGTACAGGCAGGTGCTGAAACTGGTTTGGCTCAGTAGATAGAGCGTCAGCCTGCTGACTAAAGGGTCCAGGGTTCGATTCCGGTCAAGGCATGTACCATGGTTGTGGCCACATCCCCAGTGGGGGCTGTGC